ATCACGTTCAAAACACAACTGACGAGGCCCACCAGTTTGTCGTTGTGATACGAGCATGCCAGGCACGTATGCATAACACACACCGTAACTCACATGATCCCAAACGGATAGCCTGTTGCCTTCAGCTAGAAGTACACTGCCAACTCACGGCACGCGGATCTGTGTGCGGAATGCATTTACTAACGGGCACAACGCTCCTACTGTTTGGTTTATGCGTGTGTGTGTCCCACCAACGGACCGCATGATAGATGCGCTGGATCACCACGGGTGCAAGATCACGGTACGGCAGACGCTGTTCGGGTTGTGCTACCGTAATAAATGCCAAAAATCGAGAGGAGCGTGGTTTCATGCATAGGCGCGGCTTCGGCAGCGGCAGCCATCTGCATTTTCCCCCTTTCCGGTCTTCTTTACTTTGTCTTGGCACCGGACACGGTTGAGAGAGTGGGGAGAAAGCGAGGTAGATACATGCAGAAGTCTATTTTCATTATAGTCCAAAGCAAGGGACCGTTTCTTCACCATCCTGTTGTGGAGCACACGGTGGACATTGTCGAAACCGGTGGTCGAATTGTCGTATGTGTGTATGTGGGTATAGTTGGTCGGATATGACTGACATACACAGGATAACTATGCAACAACGAAATGCTTCAGAACAATACCACCAACATACAAGTCCCTATTGTTTCCTACCATTCGAGATCCAGGTTGGCCTTATTGCAGAACTCTGCATAGATATATATCCCTGCCAGGATTATCAAAGGAACCCCAAGGCCACAAAATACCGTCAATCGCTGGTACTATCTAACACACTTCCCTTCCTGTCGCATGTACAGAAATCCGTGCTGCTGAATCAGGCACCCTTAAAGCCAGGACGGAGGGGAGAAGTTGGAGGGGGACCACTAGGACTCGCGACGATCTCTAATTCTTCCCTCTACCTTCAAATGTTATTACTCAGGCAAGGGGTCACGTTGAAATAATAAACTGATCATGCATATCCACCTAATAATGCGAAACGGTCGCTCCGAAGAGTATTTCAAGGCTGTAATATACGGTATAGCGAGTACAAAACTTGACTTCGCAGATGTTGCCCATATCTGTCGATCACTGAAAGTTCATTGCTAGACATATTTCATGTGCCCTAAAATAAACCACATTACCGAGATGATCAAAGGCAGATGCTTGCCAAATAACGCCAACAGCAGCCTGGTTAGCCACCAACGTATCGGTCACAGCGCATCTGAACGACCAAGGCCGGGAAGACGGATGCATTCATTAGTTCGGCTGGCTGGTTGCCGGGTGCGTTCATAACTTTCAAATGAGGTGAATCGTGAAATAAGCAGGTTCTCGGGGGGCCATGATAGTTCGACCGTCGTTTTCGACGAGCTTCAGCAAACTAAAGGTCGACACGCTGACTGTAGTTGAATTATATTGAAGGTAGACTCGCAAGATCTACCCCAGTCTCTAACCACTCCCCCACCTGCACAAGACAAAAGTCGAAAAGACCGGAGATGGGGCAGGGCACAGGTGGCTGGTGCGGCCGTTTCGCAAGATAAGCACGGAGCGACTGACCGGGTGGCCCTTGCGACTACACAGATGAAGGCGCGACAGCTATCACGCCGCCGGCAAATTCGTTAGGCGCCACCAGCCGGTATTAATTCCTTTGGATCAGAGAGGGAGGATACAATTAATAAGTGCCGAAGAGGAGGGCAACTGAAGACTTGGCTCGACACCGTCTGTCAAGACATGGAAGCAGTTCTGGATTTCTATCTTAGGTCTTCGTCGCTGGAGAAGAGACTGGGTGGAGCTCTCCAGATCCGCTGCCGCCAATGGTCACGCATGGAAAGGTACCGTCCGTGACATCATTGAGGCCGGCTAGATCAGGCATGATCACAGCCGTAACAAGTACAAGATACAGTTAACCGGGCAACCATGTACACTCCCTATAAAGCCAGTGAGAGCGCAAGCGCAAACACCGACGGGGAATCAGCTCCAAGAAAACGGTCAGCGTACACCAGGCCGCAGGGATCATGGTCTGCTGAAGCGTGGCGTTGCATGCGCGACTACCTAGCGAAAAACCACTGTGACATGTGGAAAGTGAGCCGCCACCAAGTACGTTTTTGTGCCAAAGTTTAATCGAGGGAAGGTTCCTGAGCCAAAGCGCTAGAGTAGACAACCTCAGACAAACAGTTGATGGCAGAAACTCGAGGCGCTTGACAATCGGTGCCTCCAGAGTATAACGTGGCTTCGGCTGACCATGTCCGGAACATACAAATTCCCCACCTATAAAAGATATTTTAAGGCAATACGGCAGATGACTGGATTGCGCAGTCCGTTCTTAGACAGTGGGGACTATCAACAAGGAGAAGAACTGCTGGAATGACAATTTCTAGCTTGTTAGTCGTTAGCAGGTAGCCATACCCTACTTCCGATTTACGACTCAGCCTGAATACGAAACATGGCTTTGCCGATTTAAAAGTACATAGCAGCAGCCTTGGGAGACTGTTAGATTTTAAAAATCATCAGAGTTTGGGGGAGAAGAACTTCAACTAGACAATAATTAGGGTCTGTTCGGGAAGACGAAAACATGGGCTGCGCTGGTCTGCGGTTATGCAGGCGTCTTGCAACCAAATTAATATTGGCAGCCATAAGACGATGGTTTAATGCACTATTACCCCTAACGCAGAAACACGTGTATTAAAGTTCTTTTTCTATGACGAATATCGGGTAAATACCTGAGGACCTCCTATATGAACCCATTGACAAACTCTCTAAATGCCGGGCTCTCAAGTACCATTGAGGCTAAGGACGTAAAGGCTCATAAGTCTATGCAGACACCCCGGCGATCTTTGTCGCGCAAGTCACGTAATTTACCCCAAAAAATAGCAGATAGAAGTAGTAGGTAAGCGATTCGGTGAACAACAAATGTGGAATAATTGGATCTATGGTAGAAATAAATAAGAAACCAGTTT